TGTTTGCATCTTTTTGCTATTGTAAATAGTCAAGTTTTTTTTTGCCCATTTTTAAATTGAATTGCTTCTCTTTTTATTCCTCAGCTGTAGTTCTCCCATTCTATATGGTGTCTTTTTACTTTCTTGATAGTGTCCTTTAATGCACAAATTTCTTTAATTTTATTAGGTACAATTTATCTATTCTTTTTCTTTTATTGCTTATACTTTTGGTGTCCTATCTAAGAATCCACTGCCAAATTCAAGGTCATGAAGATTTACCCCTATGTTTATTTACTTCTAAGAATTTTATACTTTTAGCTCTTACATTTTGGTCTTTGATCCATTTTGAGTTTAATTTTTGTATGTAGTGTGAGGTAGGGTAGGGTGATATTCACTTTTTTGTATGTGTATATTCACTTGTCCCAGCACCATTTGTTGAAGAGGTTGTTCTTACTTCATTCAATGGTCTTGGTACCCTTGTCAAAAATCAATTGACCATAAAGGTACAGGTTGATTTTTGGACTCTTAATTTCACTGTGCCCATTGATCTCTAGAGGGAAAAAAAAAGGGTTTGTTGATGCTCTGTCCTGCAAGGTGGCACTAATGGCCTTTTTCTCTCCACAAAGTGCTTTTGCACAAATACTTTCTTTGATCCTCACACTACCATTACTACTACCTTGTAAGGTTGTTGTGTTGGTGTTAGGTGCCGTCAAGTCAGCTCCAACTCATAGAGACCCTATGTACAACAGAACGAAATTATAAGATAGATATTATTATCCTCATTTAACAAATGAGGAACCAGACCAAAAGAGAGCAAGTGATCTGCCCAGAGTTAAGTAGCAGAGCTGGGACTATAGCCTTGGTTTGTCAGATGCCAGAGCCTTTGCTATTTCTACTCCATTCCATCGGCTCCTAACATTTGGATACCCCTTTCTGGTTCTACAATTGCTTTAATATATGTTATCTCCTTTGTTTGGTTGCTTTAGTTATGTATCTATATCTCTATCTATCAATCTATCTATCGTCTATCTATCTAGAGCTCTGGTGGCACTGTGGTTAAGGCATTTGGGCTGCTAACCAAAAGGTTGGCAGTTCAAACATATCAGATGCTTGGTAGAAGAAAGATGAGCCTGTCTGCTTCTGTAAAGATTTACAGCCTTGAAACCCTATGGGGGTCACTATGAGTTGGAATCAACTCAAAGGCAGTGGATTTGGGATATATATATATATGTGTGTGTGTGTGTGTGTGTGTGTGTGTGTGTGTATGTATATGTTGAGAGCTGCATTAACTGTAAGGGAGGAAGACCAAAGATGTACTGAGTATCGTCAGAGGTCAAGCCTGATAACTCAATCAAGAACCACTGGGTAAAATGAAAGCAGAAATCAGTGGACTAGATATGTTATTAATGAGGTGAGAGAGACCCAGTGTGGGTATAGGATAGGGGTAACCAAGGAAGAAGCATTAGTTTGATCCCTTTCCTTAAAATGAGAACATGGGATAGAAAGTCCCAGAGCATCAACCAGGAGAGCCTAAACCAAATCCTTGGCTTAGGTGCAAATATGGTTAGTGGCTTATAGTATGCCTTCTCCCTAGGTAGAGTGCCCTGGTGTCTGCAGGGAGGCCGAGGGGTACTGGCTGATGGAAGCCATTCCCAGGGAGTAAGGAGAGTAGCCAAGAGCTGTGAATTGGCAGCCTTGAATAGAATAGACAAGGAGCCACCATTTCCAGAGTTGTGGGATTATGAAAGGGAAAAAGGATGCCTTCCTTTCCTGACCAGAGGTGCTTCGTGTAAAGAATCTTAATGAAGAAATGTTTGATCAAGTGTTTATTGGCCAAAGATATAAGAATTGAGATGAAGGTAAAAAGTGATTACCTCTTGGCATTTTCTCCTTATTGGTCCCTCTGATTTGGAGTAAACTATGGAGGAATAAAAGCAGCATTCTTTCCAAAGTCCACAACCATTGTCTTAGAATAGACTCAGTTTTGTCCAGGCAAGATTGCTTTCACAGTTTCTTGTGCTACCTAGTAACCTTTTGTTGTATGGAAGCTTGGAATGCTACTGATCAATAATGGGGGTCTCACAACTTAAGCCCCAGATTTTTAACAGGAATACACAAACACACTCCTACATGCACACACAAATAGAAACAGAGCCCGGATTTATTGTAATATCACGATTATTGGTTT